TGTTATAGAATTAAATGTATAGGAATATATATATATATATATTATATGTTATAGAATTAAATATATAGGAATATATATATATATATATATATAAATATTCATAAATATATTTATATATTATTGTTCATATTGTTTAAATTGCATGTCATATATATATATTACTGCGAATATACAAAAGTCCTGTTACAGATCGAGGACTCCTACCTCGTGCGTATATTTCGAGTTGTTAATGCCAGTCCGCTTCGTGTACAGCGTTTTACTTATCCACATACATCCATATGTAATATATATATGTATATATATATATGTGATAGTTCTTTTAGTTTGTGTTATTGACGCGTTTCTTTTTCATCCCATGGTCTGTTAAATCACGTTCTGCTAGCTATTTACCGCATATCACAACTGCAAATATTATTATTATCGTCATGTCTTCACTCTATCATATGCATATATACTCGTCATACAACTTGGTTGCTTCATTTGTCTTGAAAGTACTAATTCATCAATTCTTCTTTGTGCAACAGGGAATCGTACACGCATTGTACGTCATTACGCAAGGCGGAGGCTACCAGAGAATGTAAGAAGCGAGTCCACCTTCCAAAATAAATAAATAAGAACAATTGTCAACGCCGCTCTCGTTGTCTCTATGCCTTACTCTCTGCCATACATGCGGATTTGTGTGTTATAATCTCTCCAATAATTCTAAACAACGCTTAAGTTTACTATTGCAATTGACGCATGTATTAAGGAACGTGTGTTCGCTCTCTAGTGTATCCGTTTGGCCAGTAATGTTATAGATCCGTGGTCAGCTTATTCACGCCATCAACCGAGTACACTTTGGAAACATACCAAGCATTCGGTTGGCCGTTGGGACAGGATGACTGGTTTCCCAACAGCGGGTGGTATAGCTGTTTCTGGGTGTGTATCAGTCGAGATATCTCATTGAGCTCACGTGTAGCCTGTGTGGCACTTTATATGCTGGCATATGTATATCCCGCGTACTGCACATATTATTACCTGTATACTGTAGGTGCTGTAGGTCGTCGATGCAACAGGTACGCTGTGATTGCGTCAGATTAGCTTGCTTAACTGTAGTAGAGTACATAGCCAGCGCCACAGAGCACCTGTGCGGTATTGGCTGTTGTGTCTATAGCTGAGATATAGCGAAGTTAGTGGCGAGCGACTGTATATTAGGGGTTTAGCCTGTGGTTTCGAGATACGCATGGATGTATTGCGGATGGGAGTGTTACATAGGGGGCGGTACGACGAAAAGAAGTTACAAGAGTGGGTGTAGGACAATCAAACAAAACGTCCCGAACCTCCCTATAGAGGGAGTCGATTGTATAGAATCGCTCAGTCGATGGTATACATCATGAATTACATGAGTAGCGACCAATCATCCCAGGTCGCATTCTCACCAGTATTATAAAACATACACAACAAGCATCGCATATTATATTGCACCGGGACGTACACGTTGGTTCTATGTGTATATGCATGCTCTCCTGCACTCTGTTGTAGCTGCTGTCTGGAGATGTTGTCTGGAGTCATCCAGGTCTAACACGGGAGAAGTGTGCAATGGGTTACGAAAACAAGACATACGGATACGAATCGAAGCGTCCTGTATGGCCCCCTATTTGATACTCTACAAAAATGAATTCCGTGTTTTTACCTTGTTTGAAAATGCAATCATGCTTCTGGGTTATGATTTGGATACCGCATTTGTCGATGTATTGCACAGGGTAGACTATGGATACCGGCCAACACTATAACCACACGTATCACACCGAGTCTGTTTTAGGCCTATGGTAAAACGATGGCAAAGATATGCTGAAGCAACCGTTGATCTCGTAAGTGGCTCGTTGTGTATACGAAGTATGTTGGTCACCTCGTCTTCCTGGCGAAACTTGCGGTCTAAACCCTAAACCTTAAAAGCTAAACAATAATGATGTCCATACTGCAGAATACCCATTTGCCGCCCCACGGCGTAACCCACAATGGTATCATGGTACAGAAACCGATACGACGGGATCTAGTTACATTTGACCTGAGCCCAGCTATGCCCCACAAGTGTGTTCTGTATATTTCTTATGCACAACTAAGCATAGAGGCTTCTTTCGGCACGACTCTGGGATCTTATCGATCAAAATTATATGTAGTACAGTGCATTTATCCATCACATCTATATTTGTTATATCCATCTTACTATCTACTACTACGTTCACCACAGCGCACCTCTCATGCACGTCTACATCTTGCTTGGTGGTCACATCTCTCACACAGTGAACGACTGGTCCCACCATCATCTTAGCCCCTCCACTTCGGTCGCCACTCCTGCCTGCGTCCGAGTCTCCGTGACAATGGTGTCACCAGTGTCACTAGTGCCAATAGTGTCACTAGTGTCACTCATGTCAGTCGTGTCGGTGTCATCTGGCGGTACCATGCTCTTATCTTCCACCACTCTCTGGGCCGTAAAGTCCTTCATATCCATCTCACTCGCTTTTGACACGTCTTGGCGATGTTTGGCGATACACACCAATAACTCATCGAAACTAATGATTTCCGAGTCAACCCTGGGTACCTGATTATCGGCCGAGATACGCTTCGGGGTTGTCTCAGACGGACTGCCACCCCCGGGAATAAACCACAGCGCGGGATAGATGCCCTGGCAATCCACGGCAAAAACCTGGTTTTTACTGGCGTCAATCTGGGCCACGCGGAAGCTATCGTCATGCTGAAAGTGCCTGGTACACTGTTTGATAAGGCTTCGGGCGGACCTATTCCTCTTGTCGTGGTCGCTGGTTGCCACTAGACTACGCAGCGCGTATGTGAGACCTATGCAGAGGGAGTAGGTAGCAGCTGATCAACGACTAAGTGGACTGACTGTGCATGCCACTATGGGGAAGGGTAGGGTTTCTAAACACAGCGTTATGAGCGGAGGAGGTGTGTTAGTGGTGACTCAGTGATGTAAGTGAGAGGGACGGTACTCGCGAAATGGAAGTATACGAGGATATGTTCAGTTTAACATATATTTAGTTTTACATATATTTAGTTTAAAATATATTTAGTTTAAAATATATTTAGTTTAACATGAGAACAATGTGGTATTCCGATGCAGCGTAAGTGTCACAATGCTTGACTCAAACCAAATTCAATCTGATACTCACAAGGAAAAGGCTAGATCTGTGAGGCATTTCGTGTACTAAAAACACGTGCACAGATAGCCTTTCCGTTAAAGAGTACCAGATACGACAGTGCCTAACGGACTAGCAGACCAAACATCGAAGCACGCGACAGGATAAGCCAGTGACCTGATGTATATCACTCGACGGAACAGCTGAAACACATAGGCATAGCAGCAGATAATGTGTCAGCATATGACACAACGACAGGTGAGCACGTGGCACAGTACTGGGTGGGCTTCAGACATACAGTGATGGCATATTTGCTATAGTAGCATTGACTGCAATAAGGGCAGATTGCCATAGCGATTCGCACGGTACTGGGTGGGCTTCACACACACAATGATGGCTTATTTGCTATAGTAGCATTGACTGCAATAAGGGCAGATTGCCATAGCGATTCGCACAGTACTGGGTGGGCTTCACACACACAATGATGGCTTATTTGCTACAGTAGCATTGACTGCAATAAGGGCAGATTGCCATAGCGATTCGCACAGTACTGGGTGGACTTCACCCACACAATGATGGCTTATTAGCTATAGTAGCATTGACTGCAACAAGGGCAGATTGTCATAGCAATTCGCACAGTACTGGGTAGGCTTCACACACACAATGATGGCTTATTTGCTACAGTAGCATTGACTGCAATAAGGGTAGATTGCCATAGCGATTCGCACAGTACTGGGTGGACTTCACCCACACAATGATGGCTTATTTGTTATAGTAGCATTGACTGCAACGGAACTAGCAGATTGCCATAGCAGTTCGTGTGGGCCAAACACTACACAGAACACTCCGTACGCACAACAACACGTGACGTTACAGAGCGTGAGATATCCAATCAAACAACAGTACATCACATGCTGAGTACAAGGTCGCCTATAGCCCACTAACACATAGCAAGGATTCCTCACTCACAACATTACCATACCTACAGTACTAACAGGAAGACATCACATCACATGTTTGACCGCCTATCCGGCTAAATGCTGAGTACATAGTCGCCTATAGCCCACTAACACACAGCAAGGAGTTCCCACTCACAACATCACCATACCCACAGTACTAACAGAGGGATATCACATCACTTACTTGTCCACCTATTCGGCTTTGGTCCCTCCGTAGCGCCGTCGTCCGGTGTTGCGGTGTGGGTGTGTGAGTGGGCCTGGTCGTGCGACGTATACACCAGCAAGAGCACATTGAATGCTGGGTTCATAATAGAGCTAACCAGAGTGTCTGATACCAGTACAAGCCTCCCATCCTCCTTCACAGGCTCGTCGGGGATCGGCTCACCCTCGACACGGGATTTGCCCTGGACCCTCTCGTAGTACACTCTGGAGTCATCGGTGGTGGGTGGATGAGTGAGTAGGTGGGGTAGGGTAGCTAGGTGGTTTGTATGGTGGACTATGGTGGTCCAGCTAGTAGCTACGCTACTCTCCATCGGTATCTAATGGAATTACGCTGCTCACTATTTGATAACCAATAGAATCACGTTATTTACATTCGATAACAAATCAAAGCACAACTCAACATTGATAACCAATCACATCACGCAGCCTATATTCTGTAATCAATGAAATCACTCTACTCAGCATTGGTAACCCACTCACGCTCTATAATCGACAAGATAGAAATATGTTGTGTGTATGTGATAAATGTGAGTATACAGTAATACATAGTATACCACATGTAGGGGTACATACATACATAGAAAACATATATAAAAATATGCATACATACACATAACACCCACATTAATACATAGTATACTACATAAAGGCGTACATACATACATAGAAAATAAACATAAAAACATGCATACATACACATAACACCTACAAATGATCGATGACTATAAGCTTCCAGAAGGGCGCGCGAGCCGAACAAGTATCTCTGAGCTGTTGCAGACTGAACTTATCAGCCACTGGGCCATGCACGTGCAACGGGTTTTTCTTTAGCTTTGAACCGGCAACTCCCGAAGAAAACCACAGCTCAGCGCCCACGTGCGCAAACCCCATCGCAGTGCCAGGCAGATGTGGGACCACATCGTAGTTGTTGACGATCCGGTAGAACCGCGTCACTCGCTTATTAAAGAGTCTCTGAAGAGGAGGGGATGGCAGTGTGGATATGAGTCGTGTGATAGTTAGTACATGGGAGGGGAAAGGTACCTACTTTCTGTTGAGATGTGAGCAGTGTCTGAAATGGAATGGAGGTGCATTTGATGGATACCGGGTAGAGGCCCTGAATCGAGGGATTGCTGAGTAGACACTACGCTAGTTTGTATGTTTAGACTTTAGCAGCGTGTAGTCGGGAACACCACAGACTTGTGACCAATCAAAATCGTCCCACTCGTTGACTTCTAATACTGACGCATACTTCCTCCCTTCATCTCCAGCTACTTACCATACCATACGTTGTAGCGTATGTAACTGAGTACATATACTGATAGACATTCCGACTTTTATTACTGACGCATACTACCTCTATACTTGCCATACCATACGGTGTAGCGTATGCAACTCAGTACATATACACATATAGTGTGTGTAACCCAGTACATATACACTTAATAAACATACCGCCCACTTCGCATTACCCGTGCGTGGTTGACCAAATGTATAGCCCTGGACAGGAACACCACGCAGAGCCACTTGCAGAGTGCAGTAGGTAGCCATGGCACCGCCTATATTTGAAGGAGAAGACTATGTGAGCAAAACAGCAGACACAGACGGTGCTCGAAGGGTTTAGGGTTTGCCCGAAACCCTAGACAGTCTTGAACAGCGCTTGATTGTATTGGAAGCGATGGAGGATCGAAACGTCCGAAACTTTGTTATTGTAAAAGAATTTAAAAAAATGGGTTAAAAGGCGATTGGTTACTGTGTCATTCCATGCAATGTGTACTATTTTGTGCCATCCCTTAAACCTCCCTACTGAATAACTCGGTTACCTAGACAGGCCTACACTACACCAATCTATCGCCTATTGGCAGAGAAACGTAACAGTTTGCATTAGAAATGGTACGCGAATATCACATCCAATCACGAAAACACTTAATCAGTATAAAGTATATCCCCAAAATACTTTGTTTTCAGATGCAAAAAAATCATATCCGTGTGACTCCAGTACATGGAGGTATGTACTGGGCCCTGCACGAATTCTACAGATGCACTACATTCCAGGAGCCTACTATGGTGGATAGATAAGTAGTAACGCAGTATTGACCTTCCCATATTTTTTGCTACGCTATGAGTGACCATGAATATGCGCGAGTGGGTATAGGCGAGTGCAATTTCTCATATACTCTGTTACGATGTGTTTCATAACTTCAAGTGAATTCAACTCGATTTCACTAAAAGAAACATCATGTCTATGGCGCAAGTCACAAGACACTCTTCCCAATACACAGGCCCGTTGTCGTTTGCTGGCTCACTCAGACTGTGCACTTCAACATCAAACTGTGCGCGCCAGCTGTATCATCAACACCCTCTGAAACCAATCGGATGAAAGGTGGCCTGAGACCGTCTAATAGTATGCAGTATGTACACACAGCAGCTATGAACAAGCCCAGCGAACACGTGTGTACCATCTCGAAGACACTCACGTAGTCCGTAGGACAAATCTTAAGGTGTCTATGCGTACAGGTGAACACTCTGCCAGGCAGATATATGTCATCAGTGTATGTTATGTAGCCGTAGATACGCCATGCCCAGAGGCAAGTCATAAAATACATCTATACAGGCAACACATGTATTGCTCCGTATACAGTTTCACCTGAACTACGCTCACACGCAGACGCTGCGCAATACGGATACGGATATAGGGAACGTTTGTTTTGGCTAGTAATAGACGCGCCAAGACTACAACCACAGTGAAGAGGTACGTAGTTTAGCTACAGCCACATGTACACCGAACGTACAGTAGTATGGTCAGGCTCACCTACACCAGGCCCCAGACAGATGCAGTGTTGTTCAGATAGCCAGGGGGGGTACAGGCTGCATTACTAACAACTTGATACCAGACTACAAATACAAGCCAAGTATGTACTGTCCGTGTTATGTATAGCCTCACCTAGACTATGGCCGCAGACAAACACTTCGTAGTCCGGGTGCACTTCATGCAGGCGCGCTATCTCATCCACACACTCGCGACCAATCGAATTGAAGGTGGCCCAGAATCCCAGGTGCAGTTTGCAACCCTTGAATTCATCGCCAAAACCACTTTTTCGGGCGCTCACATATACAGCCTTGAGGTTGTTTATCCAGTTGGTCATGGTCTGGGTGCCCCTGTATGGGGCAGGCATTAGAGTGAAACATAATTATTTATTTAGAGATAGGAGTCTTTAGCCCAGCTGTGTACACATGTGTGTTTGGGATCCACTGTGGCTGTTATCTCCTTGCACGCAAGCGTATCGTGACTCCGTTGGAGGTGCTGGGTTAAGGTTGGTACAGAGCAACTGATTCGCTACCCTACAAAAGGCATACCACTCTAGCTATATTACTACGCTCGACCAGCACAAGTACAGGCATATGCACGGTACAGATGTAGTACAGTATCATAATACTACCAATGTGCAATGAGGCATATACATCAAAGACCTGTGGTGCTTGTCTTAGGATTTACTGGGGTCTGGGGTCAAGCAAGACCTTCAGGTGCCCCTATACCTGGAGCTGTGGGTATGTGGCGGATATGGATATCAGCGCAGCGCGGAACATACTTTTTACTAACTTATTTACAATGAGAGTGAGCGAGAGAGAGAGAGAGAGAGAGAGAGAGTGTGTGTGTGTGTGTGAGAGAGACTGAGATAGTAGATATCTGTATGCGAGAGATATTACGTGCCCAATAGTTGCTAGAGATTAATTCTAGAAATATTAGGGCAGTGTATTTTAATAAATACGCTGCTTTGCTGCTACAGCCATCAATGACACAACGAAACCGTCAGAAGATGGGTGGAATTGTTGAGATGCAAAGAACGTGAGGGCCATCTTACCATCCTTAGATGAACATGATGCAAGATATAATCGGATTCATTCTTGGATGAAAATGACGAAATTGTCGAGAATCACGTTTTTAATAGTAAGTATCATAATACTAAGAACGACACACGCACCTGAATGAGGCTACAACCATGTTCCGACTGCCCGTTTGCAACCCGATAAACGCACTTGAGTCGTAATCCGGATGTGACAGTCTCAACGTAGTGTTGAAATGTGCGGGTACGCAAATATCACAGCCGCACTCGATGAAGGCTGTGTTGTGAGCTTTGCAATATGCAGCTGCCAGACATGCAACAAACATACATTATGTGAGAAGGAATCAGTTGTGGAGGAATA